CCTCCTTATATCCCTCTCTCTTCTAATCTCAAACCCCTTTTTTCTCTCAACATTCTCTCTTCTAGTCAAAACCCTCGCCATTCTATGGCTTCCTAGATCTTCACTATCTTAACAGGGACAGCCTTCTTGTATCTCCTTCTCTTCCTAGTTCACCCTCTTCTCACTCGATAATCCCCCCCCCCCCTAGCTAAACCCGTCGCCATTTTATGGCATCCTACCTAGCTACCTCTAAGCAACCTCACGACATATTCTCTAAGACGCATGTCCACAAAATCGCGCAGTACTGTAATCTCCCGAATAGACGCCCTTAGCGACGTTTACGGGACTGGTTTGAAAACTTGGGAGGGGGGCGTTTAATTGAATAAAAAATATATGCCCAGGGGCATTTTAAAGGGCTTATATAGAAAATTAATGGTTGACACGAAAATGTATCTCCTGGTATGACTCATGCAATGGGAGCATTTCTAACGAAGATCCATCAGTCAATTGTGCTGGAAGTCCAGTCGGCGAGGTGCCAGCCTGGAAACTTGCGGTTCTGACACGAATTGTGCTGGCGCGAAGTGTTAGACAGCACGAGTTCCACTTCTGGCAGGCACGAAGCGGGAAGCCTCGGTATTACTTGGATCCGCTCCGTCATTTTGCGCAGTGTTTCACGAAGAAATATGGGGGGGCTTATAGGAAACATGTTTTGTAAAAAGGAAGGGGGGTTATAAACGAATAATGCCTATAAGTCCCAATGCACGAGTTAGAGCCCATGGGACTAATCCTATGGAGGGGCGTCTATTCGGGTGATTACGGTAGCTTGCTCTGCATTTCAAAGTGTTGACATTTCAAAGCATTCATAGAATCTAGAATGGTTGGGTAGCCCATTTCTAGAAACTTTGGTTAGCGAAAACGTGCCAATGGAACCTGTCCAATGGCCTCAGCTAGAGCATGCTGCCTACGGGTGCGCTGCGATTGGCGAAGGGAACCGCTGAAAGTTCGGACTGTCGCTGTGGTATAGAGGTGTTAATAATAGTTTTGCGAGTTGAAGTTGATAACCGCGTGGTATAGTATGGTCGAAACCGATGAACAGTAATGCCCCACAATGATCATGGCTGCTAGAGTTGTCAGGCTCTCGTTGTTTCGAAGGTAAAGTTTATTCGGTATAAAATTATATTCTTCTGCCATAAGCTGTTTCGTTACTAAAAGAAAGGTCAATGTCCAAACAAAGAAAATCATGCATATAGCAGCGACGTATTTCTTCATCCGTTGGGACAAACATGGCGTTCTGAATAAACACAAGGGAACCGACACAGGCAAGACAGTGCGGCTCATGATGTAAATACCAATGGTGAAAGCTAGTGAAAGACAGGCAAATGCAATAAGCCAGCAAGGCACATATATCTCAGAGTTAGAAAGTTAGCTGGAATGAGAGATACAAGGTGCTTTTGTGCTAAGGGGTTGTGCTAAGGGGTTTTACTCTCTCACAGTACGCACGGAGGCCAGTGCATCTCTATCTACAGTAGCAATGACCATCTCGTCTACGTAGACAAGGATGTAGAACGGGGACTGGCCAGCACGAACGAAGAGCGAGGGGTCTGCAGACGACGAGAAGAACTACAGGTCAGCTAACGTAGCATGCAGCGTGTCATGCCACTCACGAGGTCCTGCCGCAGACCGTAAACCGGGGCGCCGGAGGAGCCATTGGGTCCCGGGGGCAAAGGTGCCGGTGAAGCCTGGCGGGCGACGCAGGTAGACCTGCTCGTGCACACTGCCTTGAAGAAACGCTGTCGAGAAGTCGAGAGAGTGCAGCTCGTAGTCATGCTGTGCTACTACATGTAGCAGCGCCCGAAGAGTGGTCATCTTTAGGGCCGGAGAGAAGGTATGAAAGAAGTGAACAGCCTCGTGCTGACTTAAGCCTTTAGCAACGAAGCGTGCCTCAAACACCGACGGCTCTTCAGGAGGGCGCTTTTCCTTGAAGAGCCACTGGCCATCGACTACGTTCATCCTAGGTGGGGGAACAGCGTCAACGTAGGTGCCGGTGGATCTCCAAGATGCCATCTCCGCGCCCATGGCAGCTAACCACTGAGAGGCCCAGGGTTCCGAGGTCACCTCAGCGTAGGTGCGAGGGGTCGGGATGTCAAAGGCGTCTAGGTTCCCCTCAGGGACTAGCAGCATGGAGAAGAGATGAGGCCCGGCCGTGGACAGGAAAGCAAGCTCGTACTGCCTGTCCTCTAGGACGTCACTGCCAAAAGCAGGCGCACCCCCGAAAGGCAGAGGACAGGCAGGGTCAGAGACCAGAATTGTGGCGTAGTCAAGGCGTTGGGTAGCGGCAAAGTCTGTGACGTCAGCGACAAGAGCATCAAGAGTCGAGAGAGGAACAGTCGGGTCGGTAACAAGTGAAGCGAGGACCCGAGGAACAAGAGGACTAGCTGCACAGAGGAAGTCGGACACAGGAGGAGGAGCAATAGCCAGCGACGACGGAGGAGGCAACGAGAGGAGGGGAGGACTAGATGCATAGGAACGAAGCAACATAGGGTGAGAGCGCTGGACAGGAGAGACTGGACGAGCACGAGAGGGACGACGAGACCAGAAGTGGGACGAAGGCGAGGGGTCAGGGAACATAGGAGGAGACACAGGAGGAAACACAGGAGGAGACACAGGAGGAGACACTGGAGGAGACACAGGAGTAGACACAGGATGAGACACAAGAGGAGAACGCGGGGGAAAACGAGCCGGAGACGAGTCCGGCGGACGAAACACAGGACCGTAGGCAGGTGGGCGAGGCGCAGGCGGGCAGTCAAGGGAGGGAAGACCGTGGAGGCGAAGCGCGGACAGCGGTGGCGACTGCTACTGCTGCTCCATGTCGAGACCAGAACCTCCACCTTCACCACGGCTACCTCTACGACGCTCCACAACAGCACCCTAGAGCGGGAACCCTCTCCAACACCAGTGACACCCGTAGGACCGCCGAGACGTGCCACGACAGTAACCCCAAGACTAGCAGCCCCAGAACCAGCACCCCCAGAAAGAGAACCCTCTCCACCACCGGTTCCACCCCCAGGACCGCCGGGAAAAGCCACGACAGGACCCCCAGGACTAGTACCCTCCTCAACGCCCGCACCCCCAGAGCTCACGGACTCTTGCGGCAGTTGCTACAACGGCGGCGGCGACGACGGCTGCTGCTCCGGCGGTGGAGGGGGGGACACCGGGGCGGAAACAGGCGGCGACTTTGAAGCCGCGAGGCCCCCAGAGTCAGCCGACTCCTCGACCGGGACAACCGATGGGAGGGGAGTGACGTAAGACACACCAGACGGGGCAGAACGGGGAGGAAGAGTAGCAGGGGCTACCGGGGGAGTGGGAACCAGGAATAGGGGCGGTGTGACCGGGAGACCTCGATGGGGAGAGCGGGTGTAGAAAGAGACAGACTCATCAAAAGTGATGTCGCGGGAGTGAAAGAAATGGTGAGACGGCAGGTGGTATAAGTGCCAGCCAGACGCGGCGAGGGGGAAACAAATGAAGACACATGGGACACTGCGGGCGGTGAGCTTGTCCATGCCAGAGGCACGAACGTGAGCAAGGCAGCCCCATACGTGGAACCCAGATGCATCACCATGGAACGCAGTCTAAAGGAGGGTCGGTGAAACCTGCGGCCGCTGGGAGTGTGGCCACAGGTTAAGCTGGTGAGCGGCGTAGCGAAGTGTGAACGGCCACAGTAAATGGGGTGCACTGGCATGGATCATGGAGGTACGAGCCACCTCCATGACCAAACTGATGCGTCACTCGGCGACCCCATTCTGCTGCGGGGAGTCTGGCAGGGAGTACGACTAGGTGATGCCCTCCGCACGACAGTACTGACCAAACTGACCGGAGGCGAACTTGCCGCCACGGTCGGAGTGGAGACGCAGCACGGGGAGGCCACAGTGGACTTGCGCAACTACAACCCACGAGATAAGAATGCCGGAGAGCGGGGTGACCTAGGCGGTGGTGCCACAGTAGTGAAGGTTGTGTGAGTGACCGACACGAGCAGGATGCAGCTACCTGAGTGGACGCGAGGACCTGGGGGGACGCTCCCACCCGGGGGGACTCAGTGTCCAGCGTGAACAGGTTAGACATGGGGTCCCGGGGGAACGTGGTAAGAGGGGCACCAGTGGCGACATTGGTACAGATGGGGTACCGCTCGTGTCCAGGGAACGTAGTGGTGACGCCAAGTCTTGAAGACAGCCGACACGGAATAGGTTCTTGGAGAACGAGGGGATGTGCAAGCGTGTAAGAGAGTCCGAGGGGACCGCCGGACAGGGAAGGGTAGTGGAGCTACAGGGCGACTACCAAACCTGAGGAGGGGTCAGCCAAAGCTAAAGCGGCAGGGGCAGTAAGCGATGTGAGCGAAGTGTGGTTGCGGAAGAAACAGGCAGACACGCCAGAGTCGAGGGTGAAAGAGAGCAAAAAAGTAGCGTCTGCGGTAGTGGCAGCTAGCAGAGGGGCTAGCGTAGAGCCTATGGTCTGATCGTAGAGCCTCACACAGCAGGGGAACCTATACTACACACAGCAGGCACACCTACTCTAGGCAACACAAGGTAATAAGATCCGGTCAATCTAGAGTCATAAGGATACATGACATTTATAGCAGTCCTAATCTGATCCATGTCAATCTCAAAGATGGGCACATGACAACGGGCCATGGCGTACCAGTCAGGAGGGTCCAAGGTGGGACCAAAGCGGAGACGGTAGAGGTCGTTGAGGCGGCGGTAGCAGTAAGCGGTGGTGTGACCTGGACGGTCATAGATGGGGCAGCGGGGGGGGGGGCGGTCTGGAGCTAGTACTGGCAGGTGGCCACACTGGAGCTGCCACTCGACACAGAGCCACGCGGGGCACCACCACGACGACGACCACCACAGGCCACCACGGCTGCGAGGGTTCCCACGACGGCTGCTGCTGCTGCTGTGACTGCTACTGCTGAGGCTGGTTCTACTGAGGCTGCTGATGCGGCTGCTACTACCGCTGCTACTCTGAGGCACCAGCCCCGGTCGTCTCGTCTGCACTACCGTCCCCGCCCCCACCTCCACCACCGCCACCACCCCCACCACCCTTCCCTCCACCACGCCCCCCCTTGGGGAGGTGGACCTACCCTGACGCTACTGCGCTGAGGCCGAGGTGGCAGTCTCAGCTGCAGGGGCTTTCTCAGCAACAGCGGCAGAAAAGTCAGAGTAAGTGCACTGGGAGGGAGCGCAGCCCTTGAAGATAGGGACCGGCGCAGTACTGCTAGACTGAGCGATAGTGCGCTGGCGGATCTCTATCGCGGACGGCGGTGACAAAGGTAGGGAGGGTGAGGTCACCTGGGTGCTGACTAAGGAAGTGGTCGTAGGCAGTGGCTAGGCGGTGAGGTAGGCGCGTGACAATGAGGTAAAGGCTAGCGCAGAGCGGCAACGCGAAGGCAGTGAGCTGTGCCTCAGTGCTAGCGATGAGGTAGCTAGTCTCCAGTGCGCGGAGGTGCGTGGCAAGGTCAGCGACAGTGGGGAAGGACGCAAGGTCAGGGAACAGCATGGGGAGGATCAGGCGGCTAGCAGAGGCTGAGGCACTGGTGGAATAACGTGCGATGACGACATCTAAGTAGTCCTTGGCGTTCGCTACAGCGGTAAAGCGGGGACGCTCGGACAGGGGGAGGGCGTGGCTAATGGCAAGCTGAGCAATAGTGTCGCGCGAGTCGCAGACAGCACAGGCAAGCTCGGAAGCGACAAAAGCCTAACGCTCAGCGGACGTGGCGGCGGCAGGGAGGGCAGCAGGTGGGGCAGGGCGAGGGAGCTTACCATCAACATGGACGGCCAGGGAGTGGCCATCCTGGCGCTGCCCGGTCAACTAATGGCGGAGGTCGACAAGCCACGCCTCAAACCAAACGGCCCGGCCCTTCGCATTCAGGTGGAGGAGTGAGTCCGCCATCACCACGGCTGCAGCAGCAAACTGCCGCTGACAAGGGAAGGAGGAAAGGCGGAGGAGGGCGGTGGAGAGCAGTGGAGTGAGCTGGAGTGCGGTGGAGAGCACTAGAGTGCGGTGGACAGTGGTGGAGTGCGGTGGAGACAGCCGGCAGGAGTGCCGGCTCAGAAGGGAGCCAAGGCCGGTAGGTCGGGGCGGCAGGGCGGCGCGGCGGCGCGGGCTGGGGCCGGCGGAGCCAGTGCCGGTGGAGCTGGGGGCTGGCGAGCTAGGGGTCAGCTAACTGGGGACTGGCGAGCTAGGGCCCGGCGAGCACGGGGCAAGCAAGCGCGGGGCGAGCAAGCTAGGGGGCAGCGAGCGCGGGGCTGGCGGGCGCGGTTCGAGCGAGTGCGGAGCCGGCAAACGTGGGGCCAGCGGGCGCAGGACTGGCGAGCGCGAGGGCCAGCAAGCGCGGGCGCGGGGCTGGCAGGCGCGGTGGGGCTGGCAAGCGCGGGGCCAGGAAGCGCGAGGTTGGCGAGCGTGGGGCCGGCGAGCGCAGGGCCAGTGGGCGCGGGGCTGGCGAGCACAGGGCCAGCGAGAACGGGGCCAGCAGACGCGTGGCTGGAGAGTAGGGGCCAAAAAGCGCAGGGCTGGCGAGCGTGGGGCCAGGGAGAACGGGGCCAACGGGCACGGGCTGGCGAGCAGGGGCCGCCGAGCGGCTGGCGGCTACGAGCTGCTGGCAGCTACGGTCGGCTGGCGGCTACAGGCTGCTGGAGGCTACACACTGAGGCGACGGCCGGCCAGCGGCAATGGGCAGCTAGGAATGGGCGGCTAGCAACGGGAGGCTAGGGCTAGGACTAGGGCGAAAGCACGGGTGGGTGGGGAGGACCTTGTCAACATATAAATCAGGTTATATGTAGAAGTTATAGGCTAGATAGGTTTGTGCTTTTAGGGGGTACAACCCCAACCCTATATCTTGCTTGTTCACACCTGGTTCTAGATTATTCTTACATCCAAACCTAGTATCATAAGTAGGTTAGGTCCGCCCACCTGCTTCCGCCCCTTGCCCTAGCTCGCCTGGCCCCTAGCGCGCCCGCCGCCCACGTACCCACCGGCCCTTAGCGCGCCCGCCGCCCGCGTACCCGCCGGCCCCTAGTGCGCCCGCCCCCCGCGTAGCCCGCCCGGCCCCTAGAGCTCCCACCGCCCGCGTAGCCTGCTCGGCCCCTAGCGCACTCGCCGTCCGCATACCCGCTGGCCCCTAGCGTGCCCACCGCCCGCGTCGCCTGCCCGGCCCCTTGCACGCCAGCTGCCTGTGACGCCCGCCCGGCCCCTCGCGTAGCCTGCCCGGCCCCGTTTGCGTGCCCCCCCCCGCTACTGCGTCGCTGTCCTTCACACTATACTCTGGTGCGTCTCCCTGCTTTTTTCACGACCACGCCACACTCACGAGCGCTTCCCTGTCTGTATCGAGGCCGCCTAAGGTTCCCCCATTGCGACGTTCCCCCGGGACCCGGTGTCTGGCCTGTTTACGTTGGAAACTGTTCCCCCCCACCCCCCCCCGGCTGGCGCGTCCTCCCCTGGCCCTTTGTCTACCCAGGTAGCTGCGGCCTGCTCGTGTCGGTCGCTCACTCACCCGTTGCTTCTATGGCACCACCGCTTAGGTCACCCTGCACTCCCGTGTCTGCGTCACATGTCTCAGCACGGTCTCGTCCTAGGTCTCCCTTGGTCGCTTCCTCCCCTCCCTCCTTCACTTGCGCCGCCATGCATGCCCTACGTCGAGGGCCGGCTGCGCCGTGCTCCTCACTCCTCGTTGCTTCGTCCTGCTACCGACCCTGCACCTGGAGGCTTGGGGCCTAGCCCACGTCCCCGGACCAGGTCGCGAGCGCTACATTCTCGTGCTCGTCGATGACAGCACGCGCTACACCACGGTGTTTCCCTTGGAGCGGAAGGCCGACGTGCCTGGCGTTCTTATCCCGTGGATCGTAGCTGCGCGTCTCCACCACGGTCTCCCTGTGCTTTGTATCCACTCTAACCGTGGCGGCGAGTTCGCCTCCGGTCGGCTTGGACAGTTCTGTCGTGCGGAGTGCATCACCTAGTTGTACACTCTTCCGGACTCCCCGCAGCAGAATGGGGTTGCTGAGCAACGCATCGGTATTGTCATGGAGGTGGCTTGTACCTCCATGATTCATGCCGGTGCACCCCATTTTCTATGGCCATTCGCTGTTCGCTATGCCGCTCACCAGCTGCCGCAGGTTTCGCCGACCCTTCTATGGACCGGGTTCCCTGGTGACGCGTCTGCGTTCCCGTCTAGGGCTGCCTTGCTCACGTTTGTGTGATTTGGCACGGACAAGCTCACTGCCCGCACTGTTCCCTGTGTCTTCCTTGGTTTCCCCCTTGACTCGTCTGACTGGAACTTGTACCACCTACGTCTCACCGCTTCCTTCACTCGCGTGACATCACTTTTGACGAGTTTGTCTTGTTCTACAGTCACGTTCCCTACAGAGGTCTCCCAGTTTCCCCTCCCTTGTTTCTGGTTCCCACCCCCCCGGTAGCTCCTGCCCCCCCTCCCCCCCATCCTGCCCCATCTGGTGTGTCTCACATCACCCCCCTCCCCTCGGTTGTCTCGGTTGAGGAGTCGGCTGACTCCGGTTGCCCCGCGGCGCAGTTTTCTGCCCCGGTGACTACTCCTTCGCCGCCGTCGCCGCCGCAGCCGCAGCCGCAGCCGCCGTCCATGGGCTCTAGAGGTGGCGCAGGTGCAGGAGAGGGTCCTAAATCTGGGGGTGCTAGTCTTGGGGTTCCTGTCGTCACTTGCTCCGGCGGTCTCGGGGTTGGCACCGGTGATGGAGAGGGTTCTAGTTCTCAGGAGGTTGGTTCTGGGGGTGCTGCAGTGGGCCTTCTTGGAGGTAGTCATGGTGCAGCTGGAGGTTCAGCCGTCGGCATGGAGCAGCAGTAGCGGCCGCAGCTGCAGCAGCCGGAGCAACAGCAGCATTCGCCGCCGGTGTCCGCCCTTTGCCTGCTTGGCCTTCCCTCCCATGACCGCTCACCTGCGCCTCCCTCGCCCCCTCCTCCCCTTCTTGTTTACGGCCCTGTCTTTCATCCGCCGGACTCGTCTCCGGCTCATCTTCCACCTCGTTCTCCTCCTGTCTCTCCTCCCCTATCTCCTGACCCGACGCCTCCTTCTCACGTCTGGTCTCGTCCCCCTCCCATGCTCATCCTGTCTCCCATGTTCAACGCTCCCACCCTATGCTGCTCCGTTCTCACACATCTCGTCCTCCCCTCCTCCTGTCACCTCCTCCGTCCTCACTTGTTGTTAATCCGCCTCCCCTGTCTGACTACCTCCATGTCGCTCGTCCTCTTGTTCCTCGCGCTCTTGCCTATCTCGTTACCAACCTGTCTGATCCTGTCTCGCGTCTTGACGCTCTTGTCACTGCTGATGCTAACTTCGCCTCTACCCGTCGCCTTGACTACACCACCGCTCTGGTCTCTAACCCTGTCTGTCCTCCGTTAGTCTAGGGTGCTGCTGCCCTTGGCAGTGACGTCCTAGAGGACAGGCAGTACAAGCTTGCTTTCCTGTCTGAGGCTGCTCCCCATCTCTGTTCCATGTTGCTAGTCCCTGAGGGTGACCAAGACGTTTTTGACATCCCGACCCCTCGCACCTACGCTAAGGCGACCTCGGAACCCTAGGCCTCTCAGTGGATAGCTGCCATGGAGCAGGAGATGGCATCTTGGAGATCCACCGGCACCTACGTCGACGCAGTTCCCCCACCTGGGGTGAACGTAGTCGATGGTCGGTTGCTCTTCAAGGTGAAGCGCACTTGTTACAGGATCGAATGTGTCGAGGAAAGGTTGCACTATCGATCAGTACAAGGCGCTTTTATACTTCCAGAGTACATCAGGTAACCAGGTTTATCTTATCCTAAGGGAATAGACCCTTGTAGAAGATAGAATCACCCTGCGTATAGCCACGCGAGGCTATTGGCTTTAAGGGATTACGGCAGGATTACGCCAGATAGCGCACCAGTACATCCCAAGCCTGGTCGGTGATATAATTAGAATAGCAAGATAAACCAAAGGTTAATGGAAAATGGAGAATAGGAAACCAAATGAGATGAGATAAAAATAGAAATGAAAGAGGAAGGAAGAGAAGAAAAGGGACAAGTGGTGTAACGGGGTCGTACTTTCACACTTCCCCCCCTCAAAGCTGG